TTTGATCTGGGCCCTCATGTTGGTACAAGTTTGTACTCACTGGCATATCGATAAGAACACACAGGGCAATTTCAATGATTCTCAACAACATGACCAGTTTTGGCCCAGATATTACCTTTCAAAGTGTGTCCTACTTTTCCTGTGGATGTGTGAGCACAGTAGGTACTTACAACCATTGAAACTGTACACTGAACTGTTTATAGAGGTATAAAGGGGTTGTATTTGTTTGCAGTCACATCCACTCAAGTATGGAAGAGGAACTAATCGTGATAGTTTTTATTTTTTGAGAGTAACCTACAGATTGTGGAGTTGTGAATTGTCTATGTGATCCCGGTGTTAACTTGAACCCAAGGTTTTTGATTGAAAATTATACCACAGAGTTGTAAGGACTATATGGAGTTGTTCTTTTTGTACAGAAAGTTGCCTTATGATGGATATGTATATGTATCCACTGCTCCAACTTCCTTTAACTTTTCTACCACACTAAAATTTTCCTTTTTAAAATCTCTGCTTGTACATGTTATGTAAGCCAGTAATTTATTTAGGAATCAAAAGGGAAGTAATTTTTTATTCTTTCCCCCAAATTGTACTGTGATACCATGGTATACACCTCTAACTGGCTTTAAGAGGAAAAAGTTTAAAATGTCCTGTATCTTGGAGTTGTGTTTTGTTAGTTGTACAAGCTGTGTCAAGAAGTATCCTTTATTTATTCTCAATTTGAGCATGTTTCATACTGGTAGTTTCACACACCTCAACAATAATCCACACTGTCTAATGCAAATGCTGTAATGACAAAGTCCAGGAGTACGGTAATTGTTTTACATTTGATTCAAAATAGAAATGAAATTGTGGCACGGACATGTTAAAACAATTGTACACCTTCCGTATGTTTGCATCAGCACACTTATTGTACATACACTGTTACAGGCTTGCAGTGGCAGGGTTTGAATGTGTTGAATTTTCTTGTAATTTTAATGGAGGGGGAAGAAATAACCACAATGGAAACGACGATCTGTTCAATCATAGAGTGTAGATGGACCAAAATGTACATTTCTCAATACAGACGGGAATTAAAATACAACACAACTTGTTTGAATGATTTTTTTTTTCAAAATTATCTTCGCCCAAATGACTTATTGCTGTGACTTGGCCTACATGGTTTGGATAGAGAAATCAGACATATTTGAACTGGGTTTGTAGAATGTGGGTTTTATGAAACATACACACAAAATTGATAGACATAAATTCTTGTTTTAGAAATAATAACTTTATTGCAATATACTAGGTATATATATATATATATAATGTATGGTATCTACTGTTATCTAACAAACATACAAAACAGTAGTATGGGATGAAAGTATGCTTTTATATAAAATCCATCAAAAAAGACATATTTTCCTAACTATTTCTCAAACTAATTCTCTGACCTTGTTATACAAGAGTTTGTTGAAAGGTTTAATACACAAGACATCACTAAAAAATGTGCAACTATTTTTTACATTCCTTTCCACTTGCCACTAGATGGATACCTTTGTTATCAATAATCTTCACAGCCTCTTCACTCGGGTCCAGGACAGTGTTGACCATGGCTTTGCCGATAGTTTCAGCAGGAACAGACATCAGTGTGGGTTTGAAGTAGATGATGGGAGTCAGCAGCGCAACTAAGACCCTGGAATTCCTCTTGGCCTGCTGGGCTAGGATCAGTCTTATGGGAAAGTAACAAGATTTTTTTTATCTTTGTTTCATCAAAAAATGAAATGTTTTCTTTATCTCAAACATTGGACCAACAATACATGAGTCAGTGAATAATTTCAGCAGGTTGGTGAATGATTGGAAAAGTTCTTTATTCGCAATGATTGATGTTACGTGACCGTTTTTGTTCTGTTAACATTTTGATGAACAGTCATCGAAACTTAGGTTCTTGTTAAACAAGTGGTTGTGAATAAAGAACTGCACTATTGAAATTCATAATTTGACAAAGTAAAAAATGTTAATGTTACAACACAGGCAAAAACAAAATATTTCAATACCCTGGTCGGAAAATAGACAACTTCTGAAAGCCCATGTCTGTGCACTCAGCTTCCACCTGACCCTGAAAGGGAGAATGTTACAGAAAAAGTGGATCTTTTGTCTCAGACCATTTCAGAAAAGGAAGTCAAACACAAGAACTTGTCTTTTTCCATGATATTCCCAATTAGCCTTTACAAGAATTTGCAATAAACGTCTTTATTATGGTACATGGTATACATAACAGAAAAATGACTGGAAAATGAGCCATGGAGCTATAACATGATAGCAGTTCACTACAGTCATACCTTCAGTCTCTTGTGGACCATCATGGAGTCCTTGTCTGCATCGATGGCAGATGTAAGTACAAAATGGCTGCAGCCTCCAGCTTTAGCCAGCTCTGCTACTTTCACGATGTAGTCATGGTTTGATTTTTGGTATTCCTCCTAAAAACAAATATGTGTTTCTGGTCATGACCATAGTTTATATACATGTAGTTAAAACAATGAGGTTTGAAAAATCTATCCTTATGCCACCAAAATTATTTGTCCAGTATTACATTTGTACAAGCTTTTCCAGCAGTGCTTTAACGTTCCCACAACTAAACTTTTGCTAGTAAATTTGTACCGGTCAGAGAGTTAAGAAGCAAAGGTTATAAACAGTATCAAGGAGCCTCCTTATAGGAACCTCCTTGGTATCAGCAATGCTACTTACAATAACTAATATCTGATGTTTGTTTAAGATCTATGCAGTAAATTTTAGCATTTAATACAAAAATGCAATGTACAGTTTTTTTCTGGATACTGCATTGGCTGTTAAACCCTGCCCCCTTCTTACTTACTTTTCCGACACTTCCTTTCGCTGCTCCAAGACAAACAAAGCCCACGCTGTGACCTTTGAACTCATCTGCATAATCTTCTAACTTCTCGAAGTCTACTATCTTCTGTTCCTGCAGATTCAAGGACAAATGATATGTAAAGGTGTGCATTATTGCTTCCTACATCATGGTTTAAAATAACTAGTAACGTTCCATACATGTATAACATGATCAATTTTACAGTAAATAAATGTCATAAAGTGGACAAACTAGGTCAAAGGCAGACTGCATGTCTTATCTTGTGGCCATGATGAGCACTTTGATTTTATTGTTTATGTTTGCAAATTGTGCCAGTAGAGTTTAGAATTAGCCTACCAACATGTTGTACTTCTCCTCTTCATACTTGTCAAGTTTCCTTCGACCAATCAGGACCACCTTCTGGAAGATATTCCGGTTCACAAGTTCTTCAACCAATGCCGAGCCAGTTCCACCCGTATGTCCCACCACAAAAGCCGTCTGATTGGTCGACCTGAACTCCTCTTCCTTGCCTGGGGCAGCTTCAGCCATTCTGTCAAATCAAGGAGCTTAACTGACCTTGGTCAAATATTTACATTCGGTTTTTACTTGGTGAAAGAAATACAAAACAATATCAGCCTCCAGATGTAATGATGCTGCAAATCTTCTTGTGGTTGAACTAAAGTGAACTTGATCAATTGGTCCAGACTGCAAATTCAAAATGAAAATTCCAGGGTAATTTATAACATGTATGAATGTACAGTGCATAACGTTACCTGCAAAATTCTTCTTCACTCTCAGTGGGAACAGTTGCAAGCCAAGCAATCAGGATTCCTAATATAACCACAAAACTGGCCAAAATTGTGGCTCCAATCTGAAACATAGGGTTAGAGAACTCCTAATATGTCCTGCTGATGTTGTTTACACAGTCACTGCTGGCACACCCCTCCTGCTAGTGAGGTCACCTGTCAATAACAGGCCGCATCACACTTTTGTATCCTTCCACAGGCAATAGTCCTTCAACTAAAACACATTATTGTTGGACACAAACATGAACACTCAGTTGTCTTCTCTCTAACATGTTAGCTGCATTATTTTTCTTTAACTTTGATACAGTATACATGTATGTAGAATGCTTCATTTTACTGGCCATTGATTGAATGTTGACGGCTGCATGTTGGTGGTGACTCAGCATGTAATGTTAGACGACTGCAGTTCTATTATGCTCTACTAGAGGTCGCTGCACACATGCGGAAGTGTTTGTATGTCATCATTGACAGGTTGATTGCAACTGGAGACAACAACAAAATAGATACAATACATGGTATAGTACATGGAGTAATCCTTACTCATACTTTACAATAAAAGGTTATTAAAAACAGCTTTATAATTATTGAAAAATCAACACCACAAATTTTAAAATAAAGTTTATTTTCCAGAATTCTTTCCTTGCGCCAGTCGATGTATGCTTTTATTGTCAATAATCTCCACTGGTTCCTGACAGGGCTCCAGAACTGTGTTGACCATCGCCTTGGCAACTGTTTCCACAGGAACAGATAGGAGCGTGGGTTTGAAGTAAATGATGGGAGCCAGCAGCTTACGGAAGAACCCCTCTGATACCCGCCTTTCCTCACGTTCCGCAAGGAGTAGTCTGATGGGAAATACATTAGGGACCATAAGCCATTAGGTGACATTTAGAGTTGATGCTTCAAAATTTTGAAACCGTGGTATACTAGCCTGGATACCAGCCTTTGAAAATTTTCTAAGTACAGTCTTTGCTTGTCTACCAAGTTATGAAGAGAATATACTATAGCTAAAAGGGTTGGTATTCAGGCGAAACTGTTGCTGCACTGACATTGTTTTTTCTGTTTCAATTATTGATGGGGTCAGCAAAAATTATAAATGACAATTGGCCTAATGATGCTATCTATTACACATCATGTTTTGTGATAAAAAGAAATGAACAATTACCTCAAATTTTAAAACGTTATCAACCATAATGCAATCCTCTATGTTTACAGGCTCAGATTTGTGAATCTGACAGGGCTCTTAAGAGTCATGACCATTGCACGATAGTACATGTACGAGTATTACAATTAAGACTACTTACCCTGGCCTGAAAATAGACAGCCTCTGGAAGCCCAGGTCTGCGCATTCTGCTTCAACCTCACCCTTATGTTGAGTGAATGGAAAAAGGAGGATGTCAAAACTCTATAGATGTACATTATTTACTGACATTAAACAATTGTGACCAGTTATAAAACATTGTGACTGGTTATGAAACTTTGTGACCAGTTGTGCATCATCCGGTTCCATGCATCCAGCCAAATACATTTATCCCTTAATTCACATGGTGCATCTGCCCTCCAATACATGACATCATGCAGTCAAACATATCAGGTAACATTTCAATCTAAGGAAATCCCTATCCTGATATGAAGGGTTCCACCACAATTACCTTCACTCTGTTGTACAGCAGTGACGAGTTCTTGTCTGCTCCTGTAGAAGATACAATCGAGAAATGTCTGCAGCCTCCAGCTTTAGCTAGTTCTGCTACCTTCATCATGTAGTCATGGTCCACTCTTTTGAACCCCTCCTGGAAAGACAACTCAATGAGCCCTCCATAAGGCAATAAGAGATGGCAGACATACATGTATATCATGACATACAGAAACACACATGAACACACAGACAGCCAAAAACAATACTTCACACCTTTCTACACATTTCTGGCCATATTAAAATTTATACATTTTCACAAAGAATAATATGATAAAACTCACTTTTCCCACTTTAGCTCTAGTGGTGCCCAGACAGGCAAAGCCCACGCTGTGACCTTTGAACTCATCTGCAGAATCCTCTAACTGCTCAAAGTCCACAATCTTTTGATCCTGCAGAGGAAGAGACATTGAATTATGTCTAGCTTTATCAGCAATCTGGCAATTAAAAGAATACTTAAATATTAGGTCAAAAGTATATTAACCAAACATCTGATAATGATATAACGGCCGTTATATACTCTTCAGGGTAGTTTGATTGACAGGACTTTATGTCTGAAACTGTTTGTAGAAAGTCGAATGCAAACAATTGTAACATCCACCTACCAACATGTTGTACGTCTCCCCTTCATACTTGTCAAGTTTCCTTCGACCAATCAGGACCACCCTCTGGAAGATGTTCCGGTTCACTAGTTCTTCAACCAATGCTGAGCCAGTTCCACCCGTATGTCCCACCACAAAAGCTGTCTGATTGGTTGACCTGAACTCCTCTTCCTTTCCTGGAGCTGCCTCAGCCATTCTGTAGAATTTTTTGGTTTCAAAATACTGTATCAAGTTAATGTTAAATTTCTGTATATGCACAATATGCAGATATTTGATACAATCTTTGATGAGTGTCAGTGTATGTGACAAACCAAAGATGCAAGGGGAAGAGTTGGTCAAATGTTAGAATGATAATTTCTGCCAAACTGTAATGTTTATATAGGTGATCAACCGACCTTCCTGGTGGTGTACATTTCTCTCTGTTCAACCAAGGAGCTTCTTGGTTCAACTCTCCTTACATCTGCTTGGAGATAACGTTATAAGAGCCCAAACGTTTAATATCCCCTTTCATCTTAAAAGATTTTCTGTTCAATAAACAAATACTAAATGGCAGCTTGGTGAAATGATGAATGCCCTCTTACCTTGGATGAATAATTAGAGGGGAGGAGCGTAATGGCTAATATGACGCACTGAGTCACAGACTGACCGGCTGACCCTCCCAACAAAATCATACCGCAGCACACCTCTGTATCCCTCCACCCAAAATAATCCCACCTCTCAAACGTATACATTTTTCTGGAATGCTGACATAATGCTAATATTTCTACTTATCTGCATACTATATGGATGCTTTTACTTCGCTAGTGTTTTTTTTTTTGCTGCACTGTGTTAGTGTCTTTGATTTGAGTGAATTTACTTCGGAACCGTACTTTGCTTCGATCGTCCGCATATGGGTCGAGGGTAAACCAGCTGCAGTTTTAGCACACTTTGCTAGAGGTCGCTACAAGCACGTGGAGATGACGATAGGACCACCAGAAAAGAAGAGCATCCTTCGGACGACCCGGCTGAAGTGTAGACGGACCGGTGGTTTTTGGCGAACCAAATGAGTGAAACAGTAGGTGAGAAAGCTATATACATCCTTCCCATGTTGCTACAAAATTATTGGACAAAATGTTCCAGCATGAAGTACTTTTTTGACGAAGGGAAATAGACAAGAATTTACGGTGTTGTTATTCTACATAGCAGGTGAGGTGTAGATCGTCTTAGATGTTTGGTCAGAATTTGCAGAAGAAGTGGTATTATTTCACAACTTTTCCTCAGAATCATTGTGGGAAGATTTTTGGAATCTAGAAATGCAAGTCTAGTGTAATCTGGTTTCGTCAAACTTGAGAAAAACATGATTTGCCGCCTTTTACGTTACAACCCACCCGCGGAAATGAATGGGCAGTCCCTAATCGGGGTTTGTCTGAATCATGACCAAATTTCCCGCCAAAAGGCCTCTTTGTTTCCAATAATTTTCACAACTTTTGCTCAGATTTTCTTTGCTACTGGCCACTCTAATAAATTACACTTTAAGGCTGAAGCCTGTGAGGGTGGGCATTCTTTTTATATGTGCTTTTAGAAATAATGACACTACGTTTTGTTTTTCTAGTACACCGCTCAGCAGCGCCACCTGGCTGAACATCAGAACTGCAGGGCAACTGACAGGTAACTAACAGGCTTTTCTCACCAGGGTAACTATCTACTCTCCGTGCATTACTACACTTTAAGGATAAAAAATAAAACTTGAAGTATGCCTCATCAACGTCTTGTTTTAGTCTCGATGCAATCTCTTTTCACCTACATGTAACATTAACTACACCTTTGAATTACTTACTAATTTTGTGTGTGCAATTTCAAGCGTTTTTACATTGCTTCTGTACATTTGGACTGCGCTATTTTCGAGGCTCCAGACATTTTGCGATTTCGATCTGCTACCATCTGAAGATGCAGAGGTGTTGTGTATGGATGTCCAGTGTCCCCATAATTTTACACATGATCATCTTTTTGTGAACTGGCTCTTGCGCTACCAGGATGAGCGACAGCAGAGTGAGTGTACTAGTATTTTCATAACCATTTTCATAAATAAGAAGGGAAATTACTACATACTACATTGTATTTTATTATGGAACTTGAAATTCCATGCAGTAAAACATGGGAACGTGAAAGTGTGATCTTATTGTATGGTTCATATAAAATTCTGTCAATAATAAGCGTGAAAACTAGGGTAAATACATGTAACAGTTACAATAGTTAATTCAAGCTTTCCTACACTTTCAAACACATTGCTTAACTGTAACTGGAAGATACATGTAAGTTGATGTAACGCAATACTTTTTCTCACATTTTCTCACATGCACTATGCAGATTTAAGTTGCACTTCATGACAAGGGTTAAATGGGTGCTTTCTCTGCTTCTTTGATGACTTGTATACTAATTCTAAATTTAAAGCGTTATCCAAATGTTATCAGACTATTATAAACGTATGCTACAAATCTCTTTACAGGACCTGGAGGCAATTGAAAAGTTTTACACAGGTCTGTTCACAGCAGCATTCAGCACCAAGGACAGGGTTACGCCCAGGATGATATAAGGTAATGTAGCAATTGTTTTTTACAGGGTCTAGAGTCACTAGATATGTTTTATACAGTAGAACAGGTCTGTTAATAACAGATGGCAGTCAGCACCAAGGACAGGCTCATTTTAGGTTGTTATGCATGTGTGTTGCATGCCTAATTCTAATTGGTACTGAAAAACTAAAAAAAGTTCTTTTTCAAAGAAGTATCAAGTATCAAGTTAAAATTATTTCATTTGGTCATTCCATAAACTGTCCTGAGATCCTTTCATAAAACTCACATCTTTAAAATCATGAAAAATACAAAACTACAAATGTAGTTTAAAATCTATCAAACACCATACATAAGGAAGGCTATGATGACGCGATACAAGAAGACAACAGTGTGACAAGATGAGCACAATTGCATAGTAGATATTACCTTAGTAATTGGACTTAATCATCTACCAATCATCTTCATTGGATGAATCTATGGATTAAAACATGTGACACTGGGCATGAGAAGTATTGATCACAATAACTGGAAGGAATGACAATGTTATTGAAATTCACAAATGTACCAAAACAGAAAGGACATCAAATAATAACTTCAAACATAACAGCCTAAAGCAGCAAACATGCACCTGTAACTATCAGCATTCATTATAATTTTCAACAATGTTGACATTTTTCACTACAATAAAATCAGTACAAAATTTCCACCACAAAGGTTATATTAGTAGAAATTCGAAAGAACACTTCAGTTTGTTCCCTAAACTGCATATTTCTATCATGAACAGTATTGTCTGAACATGTAGAGTATCATCAATAGTATTCCCTTTTCCTGTTTAAATTCAGTTCTTCTGCATCATACACTCTGGTTATTGACATGAATTTCAAATAATCATTAGATTAGAATGCACTAAAAACAAGGAGACTGATACACACAACGATTACAAAACAGGAGCTTTTGACACAAGCAAAGTTGATATCAACATAATTTCCCCTTAGCCAATAGATGCACTGCTTTGTTTTCAAATATCTCTGATGGCTTCTCACTGGGTGAGAGCACTATGTTGACCATCGCCTTGGCGACAGTTTCCACGGGGCAGGTCATGACGGTGGGAGCGATGTACTTGAGGGGGGCTAGCACTTTACGTGCGAACCACTCCCCTGGCCTGCTCTCCTTACGGTCCACCATCAGAACCCTGAGGAGGAAGTCACAAAATCACAAACATTGACTGATGTCAGAATGTCAGAAATAGTTCTGGTCCAAGTGCTGCCTCCTTGCATTCAAAATTAGTCTAAAATGCACTTACTCCTATGAGAGTTTGGGGTGATGTTTGTGAAAACCGTTAGATTTCCGTAAAATTCAAATGTGATCTAAGCCATGTTGCCAGAAATACAGCTTATATGCTATACACATCAGGGCCTTTTGTAACCAAAGTATTTACCTAAAGTAGTTATTCATTATTACATATTTAGTTAAGAAGAGTGTAACTTACCCTGGCCTGAAGATAGACAGCTTGTCAAACCCCACATCTGCACACTCAGCTTCTACTTCTCCCTGTGGATAGATACAGCAATAGACAAGAATTGTTATCATCTACTGTAGTTGTAGTAGCAGTAGCAATAGTAGAAATCATTTCAGTGCTGTTCAACGAAGGTTCTCTAAAATATCTTAACACACCTGTCAAACATGTTGGATTAGAACATTGAAAGTATATGATAGGTTCTTAATTTTTTTGCTTGTAATTTTGCAATTGCAGCCACTAGTTTTAAACTCTAGGCCCCTCTCCCCTGAGCCTCCCATGCATAGTTTTTTGTTCTTACCTTGACTCTAGGGTAGAGGAAACTGGAATTCTTGTTTGCTCCTTGTGAGGACTGCAGGACAAAGTGACCACAGCCTCCCTCCTTAGCCAGCTTTGCAGTCGTCATCACATAGTCATGGTCTACTCTCTTAAACCCCTCCTATAGTCAAAAACAAGGACAAAATAGAAATGATGAAGTAAAATTATTTGTCTTCTTTGCAAGACTATCCTTTCTGGGCCTCAAGGGTGTGCATGGGGGTTTGGTCTAACAGGAAGAAGGTTAAACCACTCACCACTCCTGACTTTCCCCTGGTCGTCCCCAGACAGCAGAACCCAACACTGTGTCCCTTGAACAAGTCTGCATGGTCTTCCAACTTCTCATAGTCAACCACTTTCTGCTCCTGATATACATAACAAGGCATAATAAGACGTGTGAGACTGTATATGCTAAGAAACAAATTGAGCCAAGTTCAACATGCAATTGAAGACTTCAGAAATGACTTCATTTCAGTTCAAAAAATTTTAAAACATCTCAAGATTTTGGAAGAACCGAGGAAACTTAAACTACCACTTACGAGTTTATTGTACTTCTCCCCTTCATAGTTGAGTTCCCTTCGACCAATCAGGACCACCTTCTGGAAGATGTTCCGGTTCACAAGTTCCTCCACCAATACCTTCCCAGTTTCCCCAGTATATCCCACCACAAAGGCTGTCTGATTGGTTGATCTGAACTCCTCTTCCTTTCCTGGAGCTGCCTCAGCCATTCTGTGGAATATTCATATCAAATTATGTTTAATACTTGACAAAGGGGTGCTTAATACTTGACAGAGGGGTAATGAAATAAAGAATGACTTTGTAGTTTGTTGCAAATCTAAATGTGTCCTTGACCTAACTAAGCTTTGGGCTAGAGGTCTTAATGTTTTGGCAAGTTTTAAAATGCTGATGACAGTCCAGATAATATTCTTTTTGGGCGGAACTAACTATACAGTCATATTAAAATGAAATTTGCATTGTCATCATGAACTTTGGTGAACTACACAACTGTATTGTCTTTGTATTGGATACTGAGTACTGAACAGTAAATAATGCAGTGCATTTGAAGTACTGAATGATCATTTGTCTACACAAAGCATACCTGCAAATTTCTCGTTGTCTTTCAATCGGAGTCACCTCAAGCCAGGCTATCAGGATTCCTAAGAAAGCCACAAATCCGGCGAAAACTGTGGCTCCGATGTGAAACATGGGACTGGGGAAGACCCTGCTATACCGGAAGTGGCCGCAGGTGTCGTGAACCAGGATGGAGCGTCAGGCGTCACATGATGGCCGTTGTGTCTATTGTGCACCCTCCTTAATATTGTCAATATTTATTGAGAAAATGATTCTGTATGTGCAAACAGGCTCTAAAACATTATACAGAACAATATAAAAAATAGTTCATTAGAACCTAATGATCAGTGTTGCTTTATGTGTGTGAGATTATAACATATAATTTAAAAGATATTACTATCTGTAAGGGGGGTGTAGAATTGGTGGAACAGCAGATTCCTGGGTTAGCCGACATGGCGGCCTAGCGGTGTAGGAAGGAGATGGATGTTTTGGACACGATTTCTGCTATTTTTCAGCCGATCTAGCCGCTTTTGGTGCATCTAGAAAGAGAGGTAGGATTTTGACGTTTTATCGATTTGTTATCAAATATTTTTAGCGCCGATCTGCGAAGTGATCCGCCATTAATCTGCGTGGATTTTACCGCTCGATCGTCTGCTGGTCGCGTGACACATCTATAGTAGCGGTGTCAAAGTAGCAATTTGTTAGTCCTTGTCTATGATTAAGGTATTTCTTGGGCCACAATTAAGGGCATTTTCGTGTAAAAAATGGTCGCTACCTTTTCCTAGACGTCTGCGACCTTACAGGTGTCACATTTTTGTCGTGATGATCAAGATATACCAGAAGTCAACTGTCATTTTCTACGCTAGAAAAAGGCAACAAAAACAAGATTGCAACACAAAAACAAATCGGCAACTTTCTCTTCGCGACAGAATACGAGATAATTTTCTCTCCAGAAAAACATTCAATTTACCGAGGGACTAATTCTACTGCGTGGAAGAATATTGGATTATGTAGATTGATTTTGGATATACCTGCATTTCGGGACGGCCCGCTAGTAATCTCTCGGGAGACATAAATTTGCAAAATAGGGTTTGTGCGTGATGTTTATCGGGGATACGTTCAATAATGATGAATTATTAATGAAGCTGTCCCCTCCTCCAGCCGTTTGACCAAATTTGGTATGATGTTCATATGACTCAGATACGATGAGACCATCCGTACCTTTCCCGAAAATAATCACACCTGGAAAAAATGCCCAGGACTTTTGTTGGTGCTTTAATTTCCTGAAATGTATGCTACAGAAAGTGTCTTTCTTTACTTATGGCATAACCTGCAGAAAATCATATTACAGAAGTTTTTATTTGTTTATTTTAATGACAGGTTGTTGGCAAAAGCCCAGCTATACCTGTCAAATTGTCAAGTTGTAGTGTAAACTTGTTTGTTATATGTGCAGTTGATTCATTCCCTCCATTGCCCATGATTGTATAAACGTGTTTCCTTATAATTTAAGTCATCAAACAAAGTTTATTGCCAGAATGAATGTGTATAATCTAGGAACTAAGATTTAAAGCACATATTACTCATTTGTATGTGATTGCTACTTGTTAAGTTGAAGGTTCCAACAGGTGTTGTTAATTCATACCTCACTGCCTTGCACGCTAAGGAGTGATGATGTCACTTGTACTATATTTAGCCCTGACTCACCCCTCCCAGTACAAGTTGTGCCTTTTGTTTGTCTGGTCGTCAGGTTACAATGTTTACAAACAGTGGTCTTCCTCTAGAGTCTTACCCCCTGATTTCTTCTCCAAAGGGACGCTGTGGCCTATTTTCTTTGGCAGTTACACATTGATTTTTGCACCTTTACCAGAAACGTTTGAGTGTGAAAAGTTGGTTGACCTATCTCAGCCTTATCACATTTCCATTTGAGGGAGGTTTGGCATTTCATGTGACATTGTGAGCAACACCTTTGTCCTTTTGACTGCTAGGCTGGCACGAAAGTCTCAATGTCTACAAATTTTATCATCTTTTGACAAAGGTTGTCATCATTATCATATCTAGGTAATAACTTCAATGAAGATCAATGATTTTCGCAGTCCATGTACTAGTATCATTTCAGCTACCAAGCCTGAGCTACCATAACACAAGTGTGCATCATACTAATATACAAGCTTGATCAGATTTGAGGTGTTGTCTTGAAAGCTTGTCACCCTCCCCAAGAAGGTCATGTTTTTGGTAGTGTTCGTGTGTGTATGTCTGTCAACAATTACATGATAACTTTTGAGATGGCTTAGATAATAGAGATGTAATAGTATTGTCTCAATATTTGGTGGGTAGATCTTGATAAGACCTAAAAATGATTTTGGTCCACCTGGCAGCTTTGTATGGTACTGCAGTGGAACTTAAAAGGTTTTTATATCTCGTGATCTTGACATGCTAGGGTCGACCCGGTCATGAATTTTGGGTTAATGCTCAGTATCATTTGGCAAGGGTATGAGGTTGTGGAACTCTAGTTTCTGCAAATAGACAAGTTTTTATTGGTAAACCAGATACTAGATAGTTAGTGAGTGAGTGTGAGTGAGTGTGGTTTTAGACTTTGTTCCCTGCACCTCACGTCCAGGTTGTTTGCTCTACCTTAGAAGGAGCTGTGGCTCATGTGCAAAACAAATACCAGAGACCTTTGCCTGTTCTGCAGTGAGTCACGTTCCACCTGAGGGTAGGAAAAGTGTAGGTTTGGTTCCCTCTGGATGAAAGCCAAGGTCACAGTGGTAGCAATGGGCATGGGAAAAGCACCTAATGCAGCACAGATGGTGGGGAAGTAAACTGGCAATAGTTGTGGTTACAGTTGGTATGTAGCTGGGGGACTATGTTTAGTACATGTCATCGTGCCCAGTCAGTGTGGATCATACATGAGGTGCAGCAGGCAATAAGGTAACTGCACGCATGATTTTGGCCTGGATTTGACATAATGACAGTTTACTGTTGCCAATCTAGGTAGTCGTATATTTGAGAATAATATATATGATACTTTTTTTTTTACATCTTGATCAAGACTACAGGACCCCTTAGAATTGTCATACCTCTTGTGCCTGAACATGATGTTTCATCATACAAAATTGAGACAATGGGAAAAAATTCAGGCTGGCTAGAACACTATACCACACCCATGAGGAAATGAGAACATTCCATTTTTTAACACAGGTACAGTATTGTAATCATGGTTACCTCAGTAATACCATAATGGTGACGTTTAGCGTCTGACACTGAGGTGAGTGTATGGTCATTTTTAGACTCTTCCGGGGGAATCCCCAGGTTTGTCTATTGTGTTCGCTCAGCAGTGTGTGACAGTAGGTGCCGGTCTGGTCTCGTGCAGATTACGTGTTCATTTTACAGGTGGAGTGTGTCGGCATGAAGAGGTAAGAGCAAGCAATTTGATAAATTCATAGCTGCTCACATATCTGAGGGGAATAGAAACTCAATATATGGTACCGACTGGTATATGAAAAGATAAGGTGACCAACTGATATGGTCAGGATAACCTGACTTGCTCTCCAAGCAGGGGTTTAGGCTTTGGTGCATGTTTTATGCGTTTTCAGGCATTTTATCACGCTTCCTTTTTTGCACAGTGGTATCATTTTTTTTTACACCTGGCAAATGGTAAGTGCCTTATTTGCAGGCCAATTTGAAAAGGTTATGAAAAGATCTGCTTGACTGAACACTTGAGTTGAGGTACATGTATCAGTATTCAGTAGACTTACCTTTATACTATAGTTGTATTACTAGCATCCCAAATCATCTTTTGTACAACGTCAAGACTCATGTACCTTCCTGTCCATGACTTTGTTCATATATGTAACATTCTAGTGTAGTTTATTATTTTTGGAGAGTTATTTAGACAACAGGAAGAAGACGGCTTTGTTGGATCTTTGAGATTTTTTGTTTAATTAGACTCTCTCATGACGGAAATTTTGTTTTTTTATGAGTTATTTATGCAGATGTAAACAGGAACAGGAAGATGTCAGCATTAGTGGGTCGTTCAGACCTTTGTGTAATTAATCTCACGTTTTATGTAAATAGCTTAGACTTTTAGAGTTATTTATGTAGATGTAAGCAGGAAGTCTGCAGATCATGTTCAAGCCTGCAGTGTCTGTATAGTGTAGCAGTTTCCATGTAAATATAACAAGTTGGCTAGTTTTCAGGCATGGTGGTGTTACTCTGTGCTAATGTAATGGTAGAAGCAAAAATGTAACATGACCCCAAGAATGAAGACTGCCTTCATGTTGTTATTTCCTGGGTTATTTCTGACTGACACTTCAGTTCATTGACGCTCGTTCTAAGATTGGAAATGTGGAAGAAAAAATGAAAGATCAGGAAAGATCAGATGAAAAGAATTCCTGTAGATAGTAAAGACATCACATTTGAATTTACCTTAACGTTACATGTATGATGTAGTACAAAATAGCCTTGAAAATGGAACAGTTACTGAATATTCAAAACAACCAACTTCTACAAATGATCTGGTTACATTTTACAATACAAAATTACAAGTAGCGAATTATGGCAGTTTTAACGTGGCATAAATGTAAATGTGTATAAGGCCACACCAATTTAATTTCTTGGTTAACGGATTTTTCTTGAAAAATAATAGAGCGGGCGGGCGAAAAAATAAAAATAAAAACAGGCCTAGGCATCGTATTATGGCTCAAAATGGTACGTTAGGAGCCATGAAGTCAACACACCAGGCTGGTTCAAAATTTAAACAAAGAATTTTGAACTTTTAATGATACAATTGCAATGAAAGATGGAATGACTGTAAAAACGAGGGTGAAAAGGACTGTTTTCAACTGTTCAGGGCAAAATATGAGCATTTTGCAGTTGATTCTGGATTTTTATTTTTATTTGTAAATCAGAAAAAAATGAAGCGGCGAATCCGTTAACCAAGAAATTAAATTGGTGTGGCCTAAGATGTTCTTTTAGTATCAAAGTATATACATGTATATCAAAGCTATGTTGCTTTGCAGGCATTTCTTCTGGTCTTGGACATCTGTATGTGCATTCGATTGACCTAGAAACTTGCCAGTACATTTGGACCTTATAAATATATCTTACAGGGGAGAATCCGAAATCCTTTTTGTGGTGAACAAAATGTACATCAAAGCAATATATTGCTTTGCAGGCTTTTCTGCTGGCCTTGGACATCTATATGTGCATACGATTGACCTAGAAACTTGCCAGTACATTTGGACCATGAAGCTACTGTATCTTGTTGACCTATTTCTCTGGGCAATAACGCATACATGTACATTATCACACCTACTGAAGTTAGCTCCTATCAGTTTGTATCAGTGTCACCCAGACCAGTAATGAGACAAGGATTAACTGTCCATGCTTCTGAGATTTGCTGTATAATTACATTTTGGTGGAATCATTTTTTTTTGCAAGAGGACACTTGGTACAAGTTATATTTGTGCATCTTCTTAAATAGATTAAAAAAAAGAGGACACTTATATGATATAAGAAGTAGAGGTCAGTGGAATTTTATTGTTAGATTAGT